GAAACAGTTGATCGGGAGCTAGGTGATCTTAGTGGAACAGTGTTTCCTGTGTTGTCTGCTACAGTGAACCCTAGCTTGGGATCAATTGATGATTTGCAATTCAAGATGCTTGAACATTCTTTAGGAACTGGAGATCAATGTGAAATGGTAATGAAGGAGAATAATGGAGAGGAATCTCAACATCCTATGGTGCCTCATGTAGCAAGTACAATTGAGACAAGTCTCATGGCTTGTGTTTCTGGAACTGGGCATCCAATGCAAATCCAGCTCAATGTCCCTATCAAGTCCCCTATATAGGTATAACATGAACTTGTTACTCATAATGTCACACCAAAATAGAGATTCAAGCACTAGGTGATCAGGAGTAATTTGAAGGAGAAGGAGATGATGAATCAACTGCTGGAAACTTTAAGGCAGTTGCAAGAGATGCTGATTTATCACCTAGGGCTGGAGATAAGAGTGGAAATAAGAAAAGAAAGCAAGGCCGGCACAAAGACAACCCTCAACCTAAAAGAATATTGCCCAGAAGGGAAGCCTCAAAAACCATATGATGATCAAGACACTGATTTGGAACATAAGGTCTGTGAAAACACATAAGGTCTTTCATAGAGTGATCAACATGCAAAGGAAGCATAATTTCTTTGTCATTGCATTAATGGATCCATTTCAGAAGAAAGGTTTTATACAAAGATATAGGAGAAGCTTGAATATGGAAACTGCTTACTCAAACATTAATGGGAAAATATGATCGTTTTTTTATGCTATGGTGGAATGGAAAATTAGTGGAGGATACAGAAGAACAGGTGACTATATATATATATATATATATATATATATATGCCTGAAGGTTAAATCTTCTAACTTTAAAACCATCTAGGTACTAAAATGAATAAACTAATTGAAGGGTGATTGGTTTATACTTTTTTGTTTACCCCTTTAAATACAGCAATATCAGAGTTACTTGAAAAAGAAACGTGTTGGAAATTTGCAATACCTTAAGCAGTACGGGATAGATATATGAGAACGAAAAATAAATTTGTCATGTTATTTTAAGTTACTAGTAATATATAGGTATGTGTGTTGCACGTCACATACAATATATGAAGGCTTCATTCAAACAATAATCTCACATAAAATAAAATCAGTAGCAAATCAACGTAGTACGAACAAACAACAGGAAACTTAAATCTGGTTATCGTTGGCTGATCATTTCTATTGAAAGGGTAAGGAACAGTTTATATAGGGATTCAGAATATATATATCAGCTTACAACTAGCTATATAGTAACAAAATGTTATATGCGTATTAAAAAATTGATACTAAAATAACCAGAAACCTTAATAATTCAGAGAAAGATGAGATAAAAAAATTCTTCCCGAATAGAACAAAACAATTTAGGGAATATCAAATAAAACAAGTTACTATTATTAAGGGAATTAACTTGAAATGTCGCACATTTATCCCAAATGAAATTCGAATCTATGGTATACTGGCCACATCAAGAGATGTTAAGAGAAATGGGTCCCAGCTATTTATATAAATATTATTAGTTAGTTGGAAGTTAGTTAGTGGTTAGTTGTAGTATAAAAAGTAGATATGTTAGTGGTTGTGTAAGAGAGACCATTGTTTTCCGTACATTTTCTCAATATACAAAAATGTTGTTGCTTTCTCTCTCTCTCTGTTTCACCTCTTCTAGACTCTTCTTTCACCATAGCTGAAGCTCCTTAACATGGTATCAGAGCTTTGGTTGCCGGTCTCGTCTAGCTCAGCTGTGACAGAATTCATCTGTTAAGCAAGAGTTCGAGTCAATTTTTCAAGTTATTGTTCAATTCAAATCACCTTCAACAAGCTAGGATTTTGAGATCTCGCCTCAATTGTTGATTTGATGATTCCTCTGTGTATACACCTTCAATTAGAGAAGTTCGAAGAAAGTTCTAGTTGCTAAAATGTCGATTAATGAAGAGGTAGCTGATACTCAGACGACTCCTCAGTCTGTTGATCAAATTGATCACAATCACCCTCTCTACATCCATCTATCTCACATCAAGGTTCGGTACTAATTTCTATTCAACTTCAAGGTTCTAAGAACTATTCAGTTTGGAGTCGATCAATGAAAATTGTGTTGCATGGTAAAAATAAGCTAGGTTTTGTGCTGGGTACATGTCGTAGGGAGATGTATGATTCTAGCTTACATGAAATGTGGGGTAGGTATAATGATATTGTTCTAGCCTAGATAATGAATACAGTCTCACCTAGTCTAATTAGTATAGTGATATATGTATCTGATGCTCACAAAGTGTGGGAGGATCTTAGAGAAAGGTTTGATAAGGTCAATGCCTCTAGGGCCTGCTATCTGCATAAAGAGATTGCCACCTTAACTCAAGGAATCTCCTATGTTTCTGTATATTCTAGACTTAGAGAGTTGTGGAATGAGTATGAAACTCTAGATCCTCTACCTACATATGGATTCCCTGAATCTAAGAGGTGTACTGAACGTTACCAGTCGCAGAAACTATATCAATTGTTGACTGGTTTGAATGTGTCCTATGAGAATGCTAAGAACCAGGTTTTGATGACTAGATCACTGCCTAGCATAAATCAAGCCTATTCCATAATCATCAATAGAGAGAGTCAAAGAATACATGGGAAAGGTGCTTCTTCCTTAACTGACAATAATGAAGCTGCAACAATAATGAGCAATAAGTCATACAACAGTAATTACAATGGAGGTTACAACAACAATGGGGGACTCAACACTAATAACTAGAATGGAGGTTTTAAGCCTAGGAATTCATTTTAAAAATCTGGGATTTATTGCAAATACTGCAAAGGAAAAGGGCACACCAAAGACAACTGTTACAAACTGCATGGTTACCCTCCAGATTTCAAAATTAGAAAGAGAGGAGGCCCTTTCGATACTCATGCAAATAATCTTACAAGTGCTGGAAATCAAGTTCTTGAGTCACACAATCACTCTTCCATGACTCCACCTATTGTACCGGCTCAGTTCTTCACTCAGGAGCAATACAATCAGATCCTTTAGCTGCTAAACAAAGGACAAGAGGTTGAACCTGTAGCAAATGCTGCAACTGCAGGGACAACAGGTATTGTTCATGCACTTATGTCACATCTTGTAGACCAAAATTGGATAGTAGATATATGTGCTTCTAATCATATGGTTCATAGTTTGGAATTGTTAGATATTTATGAGAAGTTAACCGGAAAGGATAGGAACAAGGTACACTTACCCACTGGAGAGCAAGTAGCTATTGCACATAGGGGTGTTGCGTCATTTTTCAAGGATAATCCAGTTCATAATATTCTTCATATTCCAGATTTCAAATATAATTTACTCTTAGTTTCAAAGGTCACAAAGGAGCTACAATGTTTATTAGCTTTCTATCCTGACTTTTGTATCTTCCAGGAACTCTCAAGTGAGAAGGTGTTGGGAATTGGTAAAGAAGAGTTTGGACTCTACATTCTGAAGACAAATGGAAGACCAGTGTCTGGACAGCAAGTGCTTTATAAGCACATTTTGACTTATTTTCCAACTGTAAATACCACTTCTGATGCATTCAATAAATGTTATAGCCTAGCTACTGAACATTATTGCTTTGTGTCCTCTTTGTGGCACAGAAGATTAGGACATGCTCCATTATAAGTCTTGCAAAAGCTAGATGGTGTATCTACTCTAAAACTAGAAGGTCATCACTATATTGTTTGTCCTATTGCTAAACAATCAAGGCTACCTTTCGTTCTTAGTCAGACTTGCTCTAGTGCTGCATTTGATATTGTACATGCTGATGTGTATGGGCCTTACACGGTACCAACATATGATGGTAAAAGGTACTTCTTAACTCTAGTTGATAATCATTCTAGATACACCTGGATCTATCTCATGCACACTATAGTTGACTCAATAGTTGTGATAAAAAACTTCCTGATACTTGTTACAACTCAATTTGGGAACAGAGTTCTTTAATGAATAACTAGACACTTTGTTGAAGGAACATGGAATTTTGCATCAAAACTCTTGTGTCTACAGACCCCAACAGAATGGTATTTTTGAAAGGAGGCACGGATCCATCTTAGACATAGCCAAGGCTTTGAGGTTTCAGCCTTTTGTGCCGTTAAAATTCTAGGGAAGGGGGGGTGTGTATCTACTACTATTTATCTTTTGAACATATTGCCCACTGTGGTGCTACAAGGTAAATCTCCATTTGAACAACTATTCCACAGGTCACTTTCTTTACAACACCTCAAGGTCTTTGGCAGCCTGTGCTATGCAGCTATGCAACCAATGTGAAGAAATGTGACAAATTCCGTCCTAGAGATATACCATCAGTTCATATAGGGTATTCCTCCTCCTAGAAAGGGTACATTCTTTATGATTTGCAATATAAAGTTTTCTTTGTCAGTAGGGATGTTGTATTCAAGGAGGAGGTATTTCCTTTCAAACACATGACTTCTGAGTCTTCTATTCTATTTCCTGTGCTGGAATATGTTGAGACTTCAACTCAACCTTTACCTCAAGATATAGATCCTGATACAACTCATGCTTCTGTAATCAACTCTCCTGAAGATCCTATATTCAACTCTTCTGAAGATCATTCAACTGCTGGCATGTCACCTTTACCAGCTTATCCACCTACTTTGCCATCTACTTTGATTCCTCATGGATACTCTACTCCAGTTGTGGAACTCAAAAAGTCTTCAAGAACCACCAAGCTACCTGTGTGGCTGAAAGACTTTGTAGTTCAGCCTTAGAAGGGTACCTGTCAATATCCAATTTCTAATTATGTAGACTATAACAATCTTTCCCCAACTTATTAGGCTTCTCTTACTGCTTATTCTACTATTCTGGAGCCTAGATCTTTCTCTGAAGCAAGTAGAGATCCTACGTGGATTGATGTAATGCAAGCTCAAATTGCAGCCCTTGAGGAAAAAAATACCTGGTTAGTGGTAGATCTTCTTCTAGGAAAGACTCCTATAGGCTGAAAATGGGTGTTCAAAGTCCAGTACAAGTCCACGGAGAAGTGGAAATGTACATAGCAAGGTTAGTTGTCAAAGGGTACAGTCAGCAGGAGAGGCTAGAGTACATTGAAACCATCTCACCAGTGGACAAAATGGTCAGTGTGAGGGCTATCATTGCACTAGCAGCTGCATCAGATTGGTTTATATTTCAGATGGATGTACAATGTCGTTCTTCCAGGTGATTGGTTGGAAGAGGTCAACATGACAGTGCCTGATAGTTTTTCAAGCCAGTTGGAGTGTACGAAGGTTTGCAGGCTGCACAAGTCCTTATATGGCTTAAAACAGACACCCGGACAATGGAACCCGAAATTGACAGAAGCACTAGTAGATATAGGCTTTGTGCAAAGTCACTTTGACTACTCTTTGTTCACACAACAGGTCGGACATGAGTTGTTGATAATATTAGTATATGTTGATGATCTTTTGGTGACTGCAAGCAACCTATCTCTTATTAAGCAAGTCAGGAAATATTTGGAAGAAAGATTCAAAATGAAGGACCTAGGAGAGTTAAGATATTTTTTGGGCATTGAGTTTTCCAGATCTCAGAAGGGCATAATCATGTGTCAAAGGAAGTATGCTCTGGAATTGGTATCTGAATCAGGCTTAGCAGGAGGCAAGCCAGCAGCCACACCTTTGGAATTCAACCACAAACTCACTTCAGTTGAGTTTGATCAGTTAATACATGGCAAGAATGCTACTGATGATGCAGAACTTGCTGACAAAGGGAAGTTTCAGAGACTAGTTGGAAGGTTGCTATACTTGACTATCACAAGGCCTGATATAGCCTTTGTAGTACAAGTACTCAGTCTACATATTCATGCACCAAAAGTATCCCATATGGAAGCTGCCCTGAGAGTAATTAGGTACATCAAAACATCACCAGGACTTGATTTGTTTATGCCAGCAGGAATATGTCAACAGTTAGTTGCCTTCTGTGACTCAGACTGGGGATCTTGTGTAGAGACTAGAAGGTCTGTCACAGGGTATGTGGTGAAGTTTGGAGAAGCCTTAATTTCCTAGAAATCCAAGAAGCAAGGAACAGTTTCAAGAAGCTTTGCTGAAGCAGAATTTCGAAGCATGGCAGCCATTGTAGCTGAGGTTTTATGGCTGATAGGACATTTTAAAGAATTAGGAGTTGAAGTTTCACTGCCTACTCAACTATTTTGTGAAAGTAAGGCAGCTATCCAAATTGCAGTCCATCCTATCTTTCATGAAAGAACCAAACACATAGACATCGATTGCCATTTTGTGAGGGAGAAGATCTTACAAGGACTCGTACAAACTTAGTACATTGGAACAGCAGAACAACTGGCAGATACACTCACTAAAAGTTTGTGCAGACCACAACATGAATACTTGTTGAGCAAGCTGGGAATGAAAAATGTGTTTCATCCCTCAACTTGAGGGGAAGTGTTAAGAGAAGTGGGTTCCAGCTATTTATGTAAATATTGCTAGTTAGTTGGAAGTTAGTTAGTGATTACTTTTCTATTATATAGAAAAGGAAAGATGGTCAACCAAGGGCATATGTGTCATTTCAAAAAAAAATTATTGTATTGTTTGCATTTCATAAATGCAAATTGTGTCCTCCTTGATATACGTGGATCCCACATTCCCTTGACCACAACACTCCTCTAAAAGTTTAAATGTACTATTGATTAGAGTACTTTTGCAGAGAGTTACTCCATGCAAATACTCATTTCGAATATTTTTCTCATTTGATAAAATTATTAATTTTTGTTTTAGTCAACTAAAAGTTCCCACAGAAAAAGTAAATTTACTTTTTAAATAATAAAGCAACAAAAAGTAATATAGATTAATACTTACAAGATTTTCATATTTACCCATACTATTTAAACACAATTTAAAAAATAAAATTAAAAGATTTTCATGTATTCACACTATTTGAAGGCAATTTCAACCTAAAAGTTTTATATTCAAAAGTAATTTTAAAAACTATAGTTTGTTAAACCTTAAAAGTTAAGTTAAGTGATGATATTTGTTCATCTGTTCTAGGAGGTTATCTGTTGTGTACTTAGTTGATGCGAAAATTTGATTTATATGGTTTGAACTCCATTCTTCCATGATAAATTTTCGACAATCTATAAATTGTCTTAAATATTTATATTATTTCATAATAAAAATTAACATATGATAAATCTATAGAAAAAGTAAAAACATTTCTCTTATATCCTTAATTAAGAAAAGAAAAATTAAAATCACTATAATTTATATAGACTTCTATTAGATATTTATTATCTTATCACCGGTAACATCATTTTAAACGAGTTATAATAAAATATAATTTGAAATACTATATTGAATTACTACAATTTATATCATGTTAATATTTGTTTAGTGCAGTTGGTTCTCTTTGTTTGAAGTAGTAAATTGCCTCTTTAGGGATGCAAGTCCCCTTGGAAGTTCTCTTTGTTGACTGTACTAAAAACTTCTCTTGATTTTGTTGTATACAAAACATAAAGTAAAATCATAAGTTTTTTTTTTTAACTTTTCTCGTATTGTAAAGAGTGATGTTGTTCGTTTTAACTTTCATCTGGTAGCTGATTGTTCCCACTATTGAAACACTTGCAAGACCAAATTGGATGTATTCAAAATTAGTTTACAAATAGATCGGTAAGTTTTTTATTGTAGAAAAATTGTTAATATAAATTACACTTGTACCTTTAATGTATTATCTTGTTAAAATTTCAAATATAGTGGGGAAATAATACCATTTAATCAATTTTACAATTTGATGTTTATATTTGATATTGATGTTAAAATGAGTATTATAGCACATAGTCTTTTTATGTTAATAATTGGAGAAACTTAAGCAGGTTATAATTTATAGTTTAATTTTTGTAAATTATTAAAATAAATTAATTTGTAAATTGTGATCCCCAATATCGTTCTCTACAGTTATTAAATTACAGGCATGGTTGTGTAACAAATTCAGCCATACTTCCAATTTTAATTGGAAAGGTACAAAGAATTTTTAAAAGTTATTCTTCTGTTTTATTTATGATTATATTTTTCTTTTAATTGGTCATTTTTAAGGAGGTTCGATTATAAGTAATTCTCTCAACCAAAACTCTATTGTAAATGTAGCTCGAAGGTCTGAAGCTATTATTCGAATTTTTCAACATAATAGTATGTTTCTGCAACTTGGGCTTTGTCCTTTTAGTCATAACATGTTTATACAGCAAGTTCATCTTATTTTAGTATTTATGCTTTGTTTTGCCCTTACTTCTTTTATGAATTTTCTCAGTTTAGAGAAGGTTTTTG